ATATATATATATATATATATATATATATATTCAGCAGTTTTTTTTAAAGTGAAGTGAAGTAAGATATCAATGATAATGGCAAGCAATATTCAGCATAATATGTATACAGGAACGCATTTCTGGATTGGTGTTGGAGAATTTGAGCCTTACTGATGGGGATGTGGAGGTACAAAAGACCAAAAAGGTTGGGAAACACTGCAAAAAAGCACTCTAAACTGAAACTGAAACCGAGAATCCCACAGTGAAGCAGTTCTCAGGATTTCATTTATCATTAATGAGATTTACACTCTCTCTGAGAATTAAGTTTCTTAGATTTCAAATCTCACACATCAGAGCAAATGAGAATATTTAGCACACACAGGGGTTTTTACAGTACACGTGCCGTCTTAGGTTGCTTGTTTCCCTTTGTGTGCAATGTGCATACGTGTGCATGTTTGTGAATTTGATTTAATTTTTTTCCACCACCATGTCCCTTTAGGGGCTCCGTACAATATACATAACAATATACAATAAAAAATACAGAGGCATACACTGTAAAAAAAAAAAATAGCCTATTTATTTAAAAAAAATTGTTTTATGGATTTAACTTAAATTTAAATTTTTTTAACTGATACCAACCAACTGAAGTACTATGTTTTAAACCTTTGTAATATACTGACAATCACCAAAAAAAACATAGGTGGTAATGAGAAAACCACATGAAGATCCAAACTTATCAAAAGTTGCTTTTCCACAAACTGAGATTAATACCAACATACTGAAGGTACACAGTGTCATGCACACAAATATTAAGTACCATAATGGTAATACACTTGACACTAAAGTAATGTAATAAACATTAATTTATCAACATAAAATATGACATATAACCCTAATGTACATAACTGATAAGAAAAAAAACTAATAAGAAAGTTCTCTTAACAAAAGTTCTGAAATCACAGGGAATTCTGAGAATGTCAATTATATGACTTGCTCTTTTTCACTTTCAAAAACTTGTATGTGTTGTCAGTTTGAAATCATAAAAACTAAGAACTCTATACAAACCCTCAGTGCAGGAACTGCGCATAAGTCTACACTCAGCATCAGATGGTTGCAGTGACATGTATCTCTCTCTCATTGCTTTGCTCTGTAAATTCCTCCTCTCACCCAGCATCTCCTGTCCCAGAAACCCTCTCTAATTTCTGCTCAATCTGTCTCATACTGACAGACTGGAATCTGCAGACGCCTTGTATTTGTGCGCATAAATAATAAGAGGGAAAAATATATAGAAATACAATACAAGGACAGCATGCCTTCACTACCTGCCAAAATATTGTATGAGGTAAAATGAGTGGTAAACCTGCCTCTTCAACTTGTCTCTTTTTATCCCATTCGCACTATTGCTATATATATATATATATATATATATATATATATATATATATACAGCAGTTTTTTTTAAAGTGAAGTGAAGTAAGATATCAATGATAATGGCAAGCAATATTCAGCATAATATGTATACAGGAACGCATTTCTGGATTGGTGTTGGAGAATTTGAGCCTTACTGATGGGGATGTGGAGGTACAAAAGACCAAAAAGGTTGGGAAACACTGCAAAAAAGCACTCTAAACTGAAACTGAAACCGAGAATCCCACAGTGAAGCAGTTCTCAGGATTTCATTTATCATTAATGAGATTTACACTCTCTCTGAGAATTAAGTTTCTTAGATTTCAAATCTCACACATCAGAGCAAATGAGAATATTTAGCACACACAGGGGTTTTTACAGTACACGTGCCGTCTTAGGTTGCTTGTTTCCCTTTGTGTGCAATGTGCATACGTGTGCATGTTTGTGAATTTGATTTAGATTATTTGGGGGAGTTTTTTACCTCATCGTTGGCGTTTTTTAGTCTCTTTTGTGCAGTGGGAGTATCTGACTGCTCTCTGCTGAATTCAGATGCTTTTTACAGAGCTAGTCAAGATGGCTGCTGAAACACACACACACACACACACACACACACAAGTCCAGAGCTCTAAAATGATCCCATCTGTCCACAAAGGTGTAAATTCACATTGTTAAACTCAAAAACCGCAGAAAAGCTCTGCTTAAATACACTGCTTTATGGGACACTCTTAAGGTGTCCCCAGTACCACAGTGCATTATGGGAACATACCTGTAAATCAAAACACAATCATGAATCTGTTTGTCTTTCTGCTTATCCAGTCACCCATGTCATTTCAAATCCAGTCCCAATTCTCTTTTGGGACAAATCAGTTAGATGCAGGCCTACTTAATTCCTCTTTCTATGAACACAGCCTAAGATTAAGGCTATAAATCTTTATGATTCATAAGCCATAAATTTAAGTGCTTATGACGTCAAGCAGCTAGGAGAGATGCTGTTAGCCTCAGAAAGACAGAGAGCGGCCATAGTTCAGTTTAGAGAGCCTGTGCCACCACCATCTGACATACACTTCCCTCGGGACGGCAGGATCCTACGGCTACAGAAAGAAAGAGAGAGAGAGATTGAGCAAAGCGAGGATGAAAAAGACAAACCGATCAATAAAAGTGAAGTAACATCAAAAATGACCTGACTGTGGAGTTAGGCTCTTGGAAAGTCAGAGCAGACAGCATCTTCTCCTTGTCAGAGATTGGAGGAACAGCGGAGCCAGGGGAGTTGAAGAGACAGTGGGGAGAGAAAGAAAAGAGAGCATCTTTGTCAGGGTGACAGGGGTTGAATAATTCAGTCTATGTCCAGCTGCTGCGTTAAATCATCATGTTTTATTCATCTGCAACAGTTTCAAAAACCTGACATTCAAATACATTAGGACAATAAGTCCTAATGTGAACACACACATCTGGAGCAGAATTAACTTTTGGTGTGCAGTTCCTAATGTGAAAAGCACATGACGTTCAATACACTTGCAGCATATTTAAACCCATTAACTACATTTTTATAATGCTTTTCACAAACGTTTCGGTTAAGAAATTGTCTGACAAGCTCAGGATTAAAAAATACAGTATACACTGAAAATATGGGATTCGAGATGTAGTTAAAAATGTTAAAATAATTAAAACAAAAATGTTAAAATAATTAAAACAGAAATGTTAGGATAAGAAATACACTTCCCTTCAAAAGGCTGGAGTTAGTTTATTTGCATTTATTTGAACAAAAATATATAGCAAAAACATAAATATAGTGAAATATTACAATTTTCTTTATGAATATATTTTCAAATCTAATTTTTTCCTGTAATGGCAAAGCTGAATTTTCAGCTTTATTCTCCAGTCTTCAGTGAAAATCATTTGAATTTGCTGATTTGATGCTCAAGAAACATTTCTTATTATTATCAACATCGAAAACATTGCTGCTTAATATGTTTGGAAACATTACATTTACATTTAGACATTTAGCAGACGCTTTTATCCAAAGCGACTTACAAATGAGGACAATGGAATCAATCAAAATCAACAAAACAGCAATGATATGCAAGTGCTGTAACAAGTCTCAGTTAGCTTAATGCAGTACACGTAGCAAGGTTTTTTTTTAAATTATATAATAAATAAAAAGAAAACAGACAGAATAGAAAAAGAATAGAGCAAGCTAGTGTTAGAGGCCTAGAGGAAACCATGATACATCTTTTCAGGATTTTGTGATTAATATAAAGTTCAAAAGAACAGCATTTATTTAAAAATGTAACATGCTTTTGTAGCATTATAAATGGTTTTTACTGGCACTTGCTGAAAAAAGTATTAATTTCTTTAAAATAAATCTTACTCTCCCCCAAGCTTTTGAATGGTAGTGTATTTATGACTTATTTCGAAGTCAATAAATAATCACATTTTTGTTCTTGTTAGATATTCTTGCTTCCATTGAAACACAAGATGCTCTTCAGCTTATCTCAAATCATAACATTGCTACAGCATGAATATCATCATAAAGATTTCCATAAACTTGTGGAGTTCATGCAGCTTGAGACACACAACCAAGACATTCATGTTAATATTTCAACTCAACTTTTCACTCAATTTTTTATGCTGATAATATAATTCATAAAGAAAAATGTTGTATTACATTAGAAAAGCAAAATATAAACCAAGACTATTTTGACTATTTTACACTTTTTCAAGTGTAATGGGTTTACTCTATTCTCTGAAGTGTCTCTAAAATGGCTTTCATAAGATTTAGTCCAGCACAGCACAGGGGTGTTTAAATGTCAGCATCAATGTAAATTACTCATCTGCTGACAGGAGTTTTTAATAAAAATGAAAATGAAACCTGCACAGCACATCTGCACATACTGATAATTCACTTGTACACACATAAAGCAGCATAGGAAAGGACACAGACACAATACTGAAGAATAACACTCAAACACTGAGGAAAGCTGTGTACCTGCTGACCCTGAGTGTGAGCTGTAAAGAATGTGCTTGTACTGTGATGTGTTTGACCTTTGTTGTGTGTGTGTGAGCTGTATAAGGAGTGTGAACTATAGGGTGAGTATATCTTCTTGCTTTCCTGAAAATAGAAATACTGCAGAGAAATGAGCTCATCCGTTGGCAGTTATGTACACATCTGACCTCTTCTGCATGGACACACATACACAAAACAGCATTTACCTTCACAGACATCTCCAACACATATCCACACATTCCTCCAACACATAAAAGAAAAAAATAAGAAAAGAGAAAGACAGGGAAAGCAGCACAACAATACATGTGACTCTAAGCCTATGATTAGAAATCCTGACTATTAGCCAACGTAAACATAAACACCGATCTTGAATAATAATCACTAGCCATGTGCAAGTGACCAGAATCTTAGTTTAATTTTTTTAATTTTAGTTTTTGAAAGAGGTCTCCAAGGCTGCTGTTTTTACTTTCTTTTTTATCAAATACATGCCGATAAAAATAAATTTGATAAAAAAAGAAAGTAAAAAAAAGCAGTATTGTGAAATATTACAATTTAAAATAACTTTTCTATTTTAATATATTTCAAAATGTATTTTTTATGGCAAAGCTGAATTTTCAGCAGCCATTACTCCAGTCTTCAGTGTCACATGATCCTTAAGAAATAATTCAAATATGCTCATTTCAGGACATTTCAGGATTCTTTGATAAATAGAAAAAAACATTATTGACCCAAAAACTTTTTGAACATAGTTTATGTAATACCTGGAGAAATATCTCAATGGGAGTTGCTTGGCAGGTGCAGGACTTCTTTTTTTCTGACTCAAAATGATGTAGTTATGCCATCCACCATGACATCCATCAGGTGACAACACATGTAAGGCTGTCCACAGTGGCATTGAAGCTGTTGGTCACCTCAGAATGTTTACTAACTAAACATAACCAGCCTTGACAGTTTATTTTAAGACAGAAATTCACTGTAAACTGAAATGAGCTGGATGATCACACTGTTGTCTTATGTTGAGCTGCTTTATAGCTGATCCATTTTTGTTTCATAATTAAGGAATTTAGCAACATTGACAATTGTTATTGAACTAAACTGAATTAACATTCAACTGAACTAGCTGAATTGAACTTGTTTCATAATTGATTAACTTTACACAGCTATTGACCTCTAATAGAATATAATAAAACTGTATGATAAAATACACCATTGGCTTCTTAAGAGTTACTTTACAGCAGAATTTGAATTTGTCTCATATTTGAAGAACCACTGCACCATTGATTCTTAATAACACTGTGAAGCTGCTTTGAAACAATCTGTATTGCATTAAGCACTATAGAAATAAAGGTGGTGACTATGTATGCCCTGTTTTAGAAAGACAAAATAATTTTACACAATTTTATTTTAATGACTACTTGTAGTAGAAACAAATGATGATTTAAAATAGCAGGTCAGAGGCCAGAAACATCACAAGCTGGCTTTGTGGGGACCAACAAAAGTAGAACATATAACAACTAAAATTCATAACAATAAATTTTACACATATGATATTCATAAATAAAATAATTTCAAGGAAAAAGAATTTGTGCAGCACATCGAAAATAGAAAGAGTGTCTATCAACTGAATAAAAAAAACAACAAAACAAAACAGGAATTCCCATTGCGGACAGCTTCATTGATTATAATGGGAGCAATTTAGTTTTGTCCTGGCATGATGCCCACATCCGGAGTAGACAGCATTAGAGACACCTCCTCTTTATATCAGACAGACATGACTGTAAGTCAATAAATGAGTATCTGTGTGTGCGTGTGTGTAATAGAGAGAGAGAGAACACACTGAAAGTGAAAGATGTGTAGCAGTGAAATATTCAGCAAGCTTGAATGAGACTGACAATTACTCATCTGCTTAACTATACGTCTAATGAAGAGAACTAAATATATCTCAGATTATTTAATCACACACACACTTCCACAAGCTCAGCAGAGTGTGATTATGCTTATTCTCTCTTGCTGTGTCATATCATAGCATATTCTCTCTCTCTCTCTCTCTCTCTGTCTCGCTCACATAAGTGGAGGCACTTCTGGATCGTCCACGAAGTCCTTTGACACAGACCTCTCCTCGACGCCACAGCGCTGGGGATGCTGAGAGAGCTGCAGGGACTTGTGGGAAGACTCATTTCCTTTGGGAACAATGTTGGCCAGACTCCCAACCAGACCGGCATCCACCTCCAATAATTCACGCCCTGGCGCTGGCCTGCAGAGAGACAGATCTGACTGAGATTGCTGTTTTGTTGCGTTTTAAGAATTTATTAGTCTATAACTCTAGTCTAACTGTTCAGTCAGCACAATCTCTGCAAAATCAAAGTCCGTTTCTCCCACCTGCTCTTTGCCAAATCACATCCACCACAAAGACGCACCCTACATGACACATTTGACTCTATTTACTTTCTGAATAAATCTTACTGTGTTCTTACTGTGCATGATTCATCTGTGTACCTTATTATAAAGAAAACCCTAGACCTAACCCTAACCAAATAGTAAGTACATGTAGTTAATTATTATTACTCAGTACTTAAATGTATAATTTCACTGTAACAAGGACCTTAAAATAAAAAGTAACCCAGAATTCTTTTAATCTTTAAACATTTAAAATACTTTTCATACACAACATGCAGTATGGGCAGGAAAAAATAATAAATATGGAATTTTACAGTCAGCTGGTCATTACCACAAAATATAGCCCTATTTGGACGGTAATTGTTTCTCAGGGGGACGTAAGTGATTTTCACCATTTACAGGGGGTAGTTGGTGATTTTAATGCCGTTCGAATCCAGGATGTCGGTGTTTTTCTCTCACCACCCCCTTAAAAATCCCCGGCCGAATTACCTACTGTTTTTTGACAAACACCAAGGTCTTGTGGTAATTTAATTGCCGTCCGAATCCACATCTCTGAGTTTACGAGAAGAAATCGATTTAAAATTCAGTGTTTAAACCCTTTTTGAGCACTCCCGAACACCGTAAGGTAACGTTGTAGCCTACTTCAGTGTAATTTGCATACACATTTATTTCTGAAATGCTGGAAAGTATTTAAAATAACAATACTTCATAACTGCTCCACCACAGCGACTGGGAGCAGAAAGAGAAGAAAAGCACGTAAACATTCGAAATGGGTCTTTATTATGGCAGCAGCAGGTATGCAATACAATTTTAAAATGTGTAGTATAAACAGATATATATCGCGTATAATTATGTACAACTATAGCACGTCTATTTTCCTATTTTTAAACAGGAGATTTAAATAATCAAATAATAAATATGATTATATATTATAAAATATGCTTGGAATAATAAGAATACATTTTACATAATAATAATAAGTATTTTTAAATACATTTTACACAATAATAAGAATACATTTGTAAATAAAATTAATTTTATTTAAAGCAGACAATCATGTGACTGGCCACGTGAGCAGCGCGTTCCCAGGTTTGTAGGATCACAGAACTCGCTCCTCCACTGTGAATAAATCGCCATCCGAATCCATGAGTTTTATCACTGAGGTGATATGTAAATGTATTTTTACAGACGTCCATATGAGAAACAATTACCGTCCGAATCGGGCTAAAGACAATGTGATCAGGACCTCAAGTAAATCTTGTATCACCCTAAAGGGATTTATTCTGCGGTAACAACTGATGCACTGCAAATCATCCTGCGTATCATACGGCTGTGTAAATAATAATAAATAAATATAGGTTCCTGAAATATTGATCTAAGTTAAAATTATTTCATTATTTGAAAATACAGAGACAGTAGAGTGATACAATGAGAGACATAAAACTATCACAGCTATGTGCAATAGGAACTGCCCAGGGCTGTGTTTCACAAAAGTATCGTAAGCATAAGTAGATCATACAACCACTGCCACCAATGCGGAAATGCAGCCCAGGACAATGGTCAGTTTAGTGGTCATTATACAGGAAAGCAACATTTAATAACTATTTATTACCATTTGTGCAGTCTTTATGATTCAATCAAATCCAATTAAATACATAAAATTCCTGCTATTATTTTCTGCTAAGTATTCTATTTCCCTTAGAAATGCATCATGTAGTAAAAATGTAAATGCACTAAGAATGCTGCTTTCATTAAATCTAATGTGTAATATGTAACCAGACCAGTGGTTCTCGAACGGGGGGGGGGTTGGGGTGCAGGATGACTTTAAATTATTATTATTATCTAACTAATAATTATTATCTAATCATTCATAGGGTCAGAAAGCTCTTGGATTTCATCAAAAATATCTTAATTTTTGTTCCGAAGATGAACAAAGGTCTTACGAGAATTTTCATTTTTGGGTGATCTATCACTTTAAATGATAGCTAACTGTGATTAATTCCCATTAAGCAATGTTACCTAATCTGTTACCTAAAAGAGCTATTCTCCTGTACACAATTACAGTACAACGTCACAAAGTAGAAGTTAATCACGTATGTGCAATAGAACTTATTTTTTTCTTTTGCAGAATGCCGCTGTCATTCCATCAGCAGCTGTTTGCTTAAAGTCCCTAATTCATTCATTTAATGGCTCATTATGGATCCTCGGTGCAGATTAAGAAAGTAAAAGCGAATGGAAAGCATGTTTAGTCATTGCTTGACAAGCACTAAGCAGTGAGGTAAGCTGATAAATGTCCATTAATCCACTACTGCTCTCCACAATCATCATGTTGTACCGCAGGCCTCCTCAACAGAGCAGTGTTGCGGGCGCCGCAGCTTTCTGCCTCTTACACAGAAACACAAATCCCAGTATGATGGCCAGCCCCACCTATCTTGATAGCAGATAAATCAGCCCTAAATTCCTGTAGACTAAAACCGAAAGGCTTGTGACTTCAACACACAGTAGGGCTTTATTTAGACTTTGTGCTAGGACGGGAATCTAATGATTTCTGGTGAACTCTTTGACTACACAATAACACTAATAATACATAGCATATTATTTATAGTACAGTATTAGAGTCACTCTTTATCTCCGCTTCCGTCTCTCTCATGCTTTAAGAATGAATCACTAAAAATTTAATTAGTGCGGCAGCTGAAACCTGATTGGACTCTGAATCACCGATAGCGTGCGATTATACTGTACTTTCCGAGCCAATCAGTGCCTCAGCAAGTACGTTATCACACACACACAGATGATTTACAGAAAGTGCTCTGATTTCCTCAGGGGCAGGTACACAAACCTGAGACCTGAGGGTCTCAGTAAATAATAACACAAGCGTGCATGTGTGTGTGTATATAAGAGCAAGAGCATCTGACCTCCCAGCGTGTCAGGAGGTCAGGAGTAATCAGGTTCAGATGATGTCATCCATCAGGATGGAGTAAGGGCAGAAGAGTGTGTGTTTGTGAGCGGAATGACAGTAACTGGTTTATTTGCATCTTATTTGCATTTTTATTAGGTCTTTAATGTTATACCCCAGTGTTCACTTAATATGCTGATAAACCGACTGAAGGACACACACAGACACACGGTCGCACAATGGAATAAAACCTTAGAGTCAACAAACTAATTCTACAGTCACACGGGTTAATGCAAACATGCATTAAGACCCATTAGAGGTGCCTGCACACACACAAGGGATCTTGTTCAGTGTGAAAGTCACCGCATATGACCTCCCGCTGTAAATTGTAGAGAGAAAACGAGAGAAAGGGAGAGAGGTATATAAAGAGAGATCAATTATAAAGCAGATAAGCTTGTATATACTGTATATACTGCAATTTAGTCTTTTAGCAAACTTAGCTCCAAAGCCACTTCCCTAATAATAAGCTCAGCGTCCCTGGAGTGACCTGCAGTTGAGTGCTTTGCTCAAGGACACAACTTCGATTTTTGTCATCTTGAATGGATAGTTCACCCAGAAATTAAAGTACTGTCACCATCTTACTCACCCTCATGTCATTTCAATGCCAGAATTTTCTTTTTTTCTTGGAATACAAAAGATATTTAGCAGAATTCTGATTTGTATATTTGTGAAGCAGGATTTAAAACTAACCCAGACCCTGACCAAGGCCACATTTATGAGTGGTATCAGGAGGATCATAATAACACTGTTAAGACATGAACAAATGTTGACATAGGCAGGTAGCTGAACTGAATTACCTGGTCTCTGTCCTGGTATTCTGGTTACTGGTAACACTGGTCGGCCTGGCAGTAGGTTTCTTTGGTTTAATCTCTCCAATTGCCTCCAAAAAACACAAATATAACAGAATGGGTTTTAAAGGACAGGTTTTACACAGTCTAGATTTGTGTACAAAAAGTTATCCTTGAAAAAAAAAAAGTTTACCCAAAGATAGAAAGAAAGTATACTGCTAAATCATGACTTGATCATTTTGTGCCGAGGACAAGAGCCAGCTGAGTGAGTGTGTCTGTACCTGTAAACATGTAAATCCAAAAGCATGCAGTTGTTCTCATCCTCAGTGAGATTGAAGTCCAACCTTTGAGACAGAGATCACATGAAATAAATATATTTTTTTCATGTTTGAGTATGTATCATTTGTTTCATTGGTTGGAGTGAGGCACTGTTGATGTATGATATATACTGTATCTCTCCTGTGACCTAGTTTAGCCATCTTACCTTTAGTTGATTTCCTGTTTCTCACTATAAATAGATTCATGTTATCACTTGTGTCTTGCTAGCCCTAGTCTCATGTAGCCAGACTTTTTACTGTTGGCATAAATTCTGGTCCACTTTGCACATTATTCTGCCCATACTCTCAGAAAAAAAGGTACAACTGTCACTGGGCGGTACCCCCTCAAAAGGTACAAATATGTACACATTAGGTACTAATATGTACATATTTGTACCTTTTGAGAAGGTACCGCCCAAAAATTAGTACCTAATGTGTACATATTTGTACCGCTCAAAAGGTAAAAATATGTACACATTAGGTACTGATATGGACCTTTAAGGTACTAAGATGTACCATTTAGGGGTAAATAGGGTACAGAGATGTACCATTTCGTTTTTTCTGTTTACTTATGTTTATTCTAGTTTACTGTTCCAGTGACAGTTTTGTATCTTTTTTGGATAAGTCCATTTGTTTGCATTACATTTTGAGCTCATGCCTGTTTTTGGACATTTGCATTTTGGATTTTCACTATGAATTTTTAGGTTTTCCGTTGTTCCTTTTGGATTGTGGAATCTGGCTTTTCTTTTTCCTTACAATGTGAGAGCTGGCTTCAGTCTGACTGACTGCAACTCAATTTATTGTAGCCATGGTTTTTTTTATCTGTCAACCACAACACAAAATCATGTTCAAATTTTGCCTTAGAGTTTGTGACTAACAAGGTTTGTGGGAACAGAACAACAGAACAATATCCCTTGCTTTTGTTTGAGAAAATAAGCAGCAAGTAAAAGAAAATATGCTTTGGCTGCTTTCTGTCAGATATTTTCTTCTAAAGTGGGGGTGGTCCTTAGCTAGAATAATCTGCAAAGTGGATTGGACTGACATACTGTATTGGCTACACAGGAGTAGTGTGTTTTAGTGAGGGTTTTGTTTTTAGGCTTCTCTCTGTAGAAACACAGAATTGACTGCTGTGAGTAAAGCTGTTTACAGGAAAGTATGTGTGTTTTTGTGCATGTACTTGGGCTCGTTGATGTTCAGCACTCGTCCATCTGCAGTGATCAGAGCTCTGAGGGTTTTGTTTTTAGGCTTCTCTCTGTAGAAACACAGAATTGACTGCTGTGAGTAAAGCTGTTTACAGGAAAAACATGCAAAAGCTTAATGTCGTTCTCTCCTTTATCTCATAAAAATGTAAAGATTGAGAAATGGGCATCACAGGGATATTTAGATGTAGATACCATTACAGTGATTTCAGTCCTCTTTTTCTTAGTTGGCCAGTACCTCTCTTTCTCTTTGGCCCTCCTCTTGTCCTCCAGATGGCGATGGGCCTCTAGTCTGGATTCTGGTGTGAATGGGCACGGCTTTTCCCAAAATTCCTTCTCTTTATCCTCGGCGTCTGTGTGAGCCTTGGAGCTTGATTCTGGATTCTGATGGGTCCCATTTTGGTTCTCAGAGAGCAATCTGTGTGAAATAATCATTACAGTTAAGGCTTATCAAAGGAAAAATGCACAGGTCTGGTTTAAAGCTGATAACCCTCTTTTTTTACGATACACCATAGTATGTTCATATTCACAGAAATTTCTTCAAAATAAATTATATTATGAGGATTGTTCTGTGAATGTAGCTTTTCAAGAACCTTCAAAAAGCTTTTCAAAAGGGAGTTTTGGGGTGAATCAGTATAAAACCTGTGTGTAAAACCTGTGTAAAAAGGATCAATTTCAGGGTACAATCGGTTAAAGTTCATCTAATGCAACCCAAATAATCTTTTAGCTCTCTTAAACCAGTTACTCAAACTTCAGTTACCTTAAAGACACTCACTGATTTATTTGAAGATCCTCCTGCTTTTCTGTTGTCTCCTTCAAACCACTCCTTTTCTGTTCCTTTCTTTTCTCTATATAATCCGCCTCCTGTTCTAAAACACATCTCCTCACTGCATCCAGTTCCTGCAGGGCCTGAATACACTCACCTCGCCCGATTTCTTTCCCATCCAACCACTGCAAAGCACAAAAGACAATCGTTCATAAATAGCGCAAGGCTAAAAATGTCTCTCTATGTGTGTCTCAGTGCAGTACCTGTAGTTGAGGCAGACATGCCACCACATACTGTCTGTATCCATGAAATTCAGTACAGGGGTTTCCCACCAGGTAGAGCTCTCTGAGATGAAAGTTCTGCTTCAGAGACTCCACACTGCTCAGCTTACCCACAAAATTCACTGTCAGGTCTAGTTTCTGTAAGCTTTCACAGCCTACACACAAATACACGCATATATATTACAGTTCCATGCATACACATGAACTGATAGACACAAAAATCAAGCCTGGTTAGAGCTGTAATACAGTATATTTGCAACAAAATAACAAAATACCTATATTACACCACACTTTTCAGGCAAAACATTTCACAAAAAGAGAGCTATTAATTTTCAAATGATGAACACATATACTGGTAAAATTAAGCATTTGAACATTTTCTAGTTGTCATAATTGAATCATGTACATAATTCATATCATAAACTACACTTGTGGTTGCTCTACTAGGACACTCTTGTGAATTTGAGGAGAACGTCACATTTGCTAAAACAATGTTGGGACCAGTTGGTTAAAAGATAATTAAATGGCTCAAAAAAAATCAAATTATTTCTGAGTAGGGTCATTATAATTAAACTAAAACCATATAAAAAACATTTTTGTTACTTGAAATAAAATAAACTTTAACTTAAATAAAATAAAATATTACAAAAGAAAAAAAAACTTTCCAGGAAAACATCTCTCATTTTCGTTTAGTTTAATTTGATGTACTAAAAAAAAACTCAAGCTAAAACTGAAACAAAAATGACTAAAAACCATATAGACATGTTTAAAAAAAAACGAATGCATAGAAATTCACAAAATTACTAAAACTTACCAAATTCACAATAATAATAAAACTGCAATAGTATCTAATTGATACTATAATAACTGGTAATATAACAATTTATAATATAATATCTGGTTCTGAGAAAAGGTTTATCACAATTTGTTTGCAGATACCGCTTGCTTTACTTTTATGTTTTTTTCTTATATACTTATGTTTAATTTTATCCAAAGCAAGTTACAAAAGAGGGGCATCACAGGCAATTTAGCATTAAAAATTAATAATAATATATGTATATATCATATATATACTTTTACACAAGTGTAAGAAAAAAAAAACACTGAAACAGTTGGTAACATGTTCATATGCAATGCACAAATGAAAAACAATTTATTAATACAATCACCTTCTAAATTCTCGATGACTTCTATGTTGTTCAGAGCCAGATTTAGATACTCCAGCTTCTTTAGTCTGCCCACATTTTCTGCATAAACAGAGTTAAAAGCAATATAAATGGCCATGCATTTATTTATTTATTCCACTGATATGTACAGGAATGTCTGCTTACCTATCTTAGGGATGAGGTTGTTCTGTAAGTAGAGGATTTTGAGGTCTCTGCACCACTTGTCGATATGCTCGATCCTCTCGATGTCCTGCTGATGGAGGGCAACCTCCTCCAGGGAGAAGATCTCCCCATTATTGTGTTCTGCTCTGCGGCGGATCAGATCCTCGCTGACTGATCACAAAGCGAGGGAGAGAGAGGATTAGTTTACCACCAGCTAAACCGCGAAAACATTTTATACTTTTTACATAAAACAGTTTATTTGGGAAGAATTGTCATTTATTTAAAGAGGCATATAATACAATAACCGCTTTATTATAGGAATACATTAAAATTGTTTTTATATTAGGACTAAAACACTTACTGCGGACCATGACTTGCTCGCGCCAGTGTGTTATGCGTTGCTATAGAAACGGGCACGCTGCAGAAGCTCGTGCTTGTGTTTTTTTTAGGCCTTTCCTTTGAACATTCATTCCAGCGGAGCAAAACACCAGAACTGGAAAATAATTCGGTATTTATTTCGACAAGAACAATCTTAATGTTAACTAGCATGATGTAATCATGACACACGAATTAACAACCAGTAAAGCGGCTTTTTTTATCAACAAAACAGAGGCATATTTGCGCTCTAGCTGCTCCGTTTACATTCAAGTAGCAACTCTGCCACCTAGTGGTCAGTGTGAACAATAACAGTCAAAGAAACACGATGCATATTGATTTTGGAGATGCTGAGTGAAGGATATGATTGGATTGGGGGAACTGCATGTAAAATACAGTTAACCATTAAAAGTTATTTTAAAATATGTCTAAAAACTTACAGAATTGGCTGTCAATTCCTATAATATTTTGGAACATTATATATATTTGTTAAATAAATGTTTTTATAGTTTTCAAAATATTTAGAGTCCCATAATTAATGTTAAAAATACTATATATAGTTGATATACAACATTACATAAGCAGTAAATGTTATGTGTAACATTGTTCAAAATAAATTACTGTTAAATTCATGCTAAGATTGGGACATGTCACCATTGGTTGTTGCGCCAGCATATTTGCATGTATTTGCATAATTTATATATCGGAGTGGAGCTATGAGATCCAGAGGCGTCATTCCCATTCCCCCTCAGATTTTCGAGCCAAGTGGATTTGGAATGCAGCTTCCAAAAGACAAAAATAGCCGAATAATATTTTTTATAATTGATACAATAACACGGGTGTGATGTGCGGTGCGGCACATCACTAGCTGCTAAATTCAAATCTGCTTTCGCTGGCTGGCGCTGAGCCAGAGACAGGCACGTTTTACAGCGCTGCGCATTATAACCAATCACACAAGAGTCTGTTGAGTTTATGAATGCAAAGGCCAATCAGAGGCGTTCAATGAGTCATCGATGAAACGCGGTATTTTGTTCACCTGCGCGCGTCGCTGACTGAATTCTGCTCTCTGGCGAATTAATTCTCTCGTCAGAAACAACGAAGTGTAGATGAGCGAACGATATAAGTAAGATATGCATTTCACAGTGTAAACAGCTTCAGTGATTATAATAGGAGTTTTTGAGAGTGTTTGAACTCTGGCTAGACTGAAGTCAATGATAATGTTCTTTGCTCTCTTTCTGTACAATGAAAGTGTTATAATTAGTAACTTACAATGTTTTTTTTTTTATTACATTCACATTAAATACAAAGTCAATCGTATTAAAAAATATTAATACCTCGTGCCCCCTCAAAAATAATAAGTGCATGACGCCCCTGGTCGTATCCCTTGCATTTGTTAAGCTGTGGTGATGATAGCCTAATTGTTTTACATTTACATTTAGTCATTTAGCAGACGCTTTTATCCAAAGCGACTTATAAAGTAGAAGAAATCAGACCAACGAGAGAGCAACAATATAGCATACAAGTGCTGTGACAAGTCTCAGTTAGTCTTGCACAATGCGCATAGCAAGGTGTTTTTTTAATATATATAAATTAGACCAAAACGAATCGAATAGAATAAGGTAGTGCTAGCATTAATTGGTCAGGTGATGGCGAAAAAGATGTGTCTTTAGATGTTTTTTGAAAATGGCTAAAGACTCAGCTGTTTGGATTGAGATAGGTCGTTCCACCAGCTAGGAACAGTCCAGTAAAAGGTCCGTGAGAGTGATTTTGTACCTCTTTGGGATGGCACCACCAGCCGTCGTTCACTTGCAGAACGCAAGCTTCTGGAGGGGGCGTAGGTCTGAATATTGTATAGGTATATTGTAGTATACCTACCAGTTTAGGTATATTGGTGCAGCGCCAGTGGTTGTCTTGTAGGCAAGCATCAGTACCTTGAATTTGATGCGAGCGGCTATTGGCAGCCAGTGCAGGCTGATGAAGAGTGGTGTGACGTGAGCTATCTTCGGCTTGTTGAAGACCACTCTGGCTGCTGCATTCTGGATCAGTTGCAGAGGCTTGATAGTACATGCAGGAAGGCCCGCCAAGAGAGCATCACAATAGTCCAGTCTGGAGAGAACAAGAGTAATATTAATGTATAGTGAGTGATATTAATACTCTGTTGAAATGTGATTGCACAATGATGTCCTTGGAGTATTTTGCTGTTTTTTAATGATTGTGTCATGTCAAATCCACACACACAGAGTAAAACTTTCAGAAATAAATAAAACTAAAATCAAATTAATAAGAATACAATTTTTTAAAATCTTACCACCTTCCGTCAAACTGCAAACAATCAGAGACTACACATGTTTGATGTAAAAAAAAAAATTAAAAAAAAAGTAACAAAAATTGCACAAAATCTATAGTGTAAAACAAGGTGATGTTACTCTCCTCAATTATAGAAGATCAGAGGGAAACAGAAAAAAAGCACAAATTACTTACAGCAGCATTTTTACTTGTTTATGAGCTTGACAGCCCATGGTCATCATTCGCTGATGCACTTTCTGTGTTTTTGCACCTGTGACAAGCAGTGGCGGCTCCAGGATTTTTTTTGTTAGGTGCTAAGGAGGGGCTTAGTTCAGAGGGGGTGCTAAAAAACTAATTAAATTGAGTGAAAGTAATGAACTATAAGTCTATAAGCTTCAGCTATCTAAATAGCATGCAAATTCAGCCACCTTGTGTTTTTTATGTACAGCAGCTTCGAAAAAGGCTAATAAAAAAAAAAAATTCTGTGGTATTAAACTTCTCATATGCCACTGTTATTAGTAATATATCTTCTAATGCCAACTGCCAAATATGACACTTACAAATTAATAAAATTTATGAACGCACATAGAAAAGAAAGTAGGGATTTTTTTTTCTCTTTTCGTTGTTTTATTTTATTTTTATTTATTAAATTTTTTTACACTATCTATTTAGTCATTTTTTCTGGCCATCAAGTGTCAGTCACTCTCAATGCCAACTGGCAGGAAAAAATGTTTTATCTATTGTAAAACATTCTAACCATGTTTTACAATAGATAAAGTGCCGACAATTCATACTATAGTATGTATAGTAGTATAGTAGTTTCGTCTCTCGTTGTCTCAGAGAATATGCACCGTTAATGCAGCGTTAGAAAGCTCCATCAGTTTTTTTTACTTTCACTTTCTCTATAGTGAATTGACTGACGTTCACCGGCATAACTCTTGTGCACAGTTTGCGCGTTGCTTGCTTGTGTTGCTTGACCCCTCCCCCATAATATCAATTGTTTATAGGCCACATATTAGGCACTTTTTAAAAAAAATTTTAATGTTTATTTTTCAATGTTAATGAAAGTGACACCAAAAAATAGGAACATCATTAGGAAATCCTTGGGGGGGCGGTGCCGGTGCTAAGCAAGTTTCTGATGGGGCTATAGCCCCGTCAAGCCCCGCCCTAGCGCCGCCACTGGTGACAAATGCCACAAGTAGTGCTGAAAAACGGGTGTTATGAGGTGTTATGATCGTAAGTTGTGGCACAAGTGTAACTTTATCTTTAGACAGGATCTTGGCTCAGACACATGTTTGGTTTTTTTCTCTTTCTTTTGGTATTCAGAATATACTGTGAACCGTGATTCTTGAAACGGTTTTGTCATAAAATTAATTTTGTTCATCTGTAGAGACGAGTTCGATGTATATATAAGTCACACAATAATGTGTTTGATATACATCTGTTATCATTCTGAACCTGTCAGTCGGGTCAAATTGTGTAATATTTACAACTGTAACCAAGACTGTGTGAACTTAAAGTCTGTTCGTTTTGTTTTATTTTAAAGATTACCGAGCAACAATGGGCCTCTGTGTTTCGCCAGTCTGGGTGGTTTGTCCCATGTACCTGTTCTATGAAGTTGTCTTTATCATCCATTTATCATCTGCAATATCAGGGTATAACCTCTAGATGGCTGTATAGCCCTATATATAAATACATATAAACCGTTTGCTGCAGAGTGAGAACTTAAAGGTGCTGTTTGTAAGTTTTTGACTCTACTAAAGCATAAAAATATCATATGTTTGCAGATATTTAAGAAACATGCTAAGTTAACATACTTGTTTATCTGGAAAACAATGCTACAGTCAGTTATTCTCCTTTGAAAATGTGCGTTCCGGGACAGAATGTCTGTCTTTGCTTTGGTCTGTGTAACCCGCCCACTGCCAGTTTACCCAATTGTATTTCGGCACCCCGGGTTGCCAATTGGCGGAAAATATATATATATATATATATATATATATATATATATACAGGTGCATCTCA